ACATCAAAACTGTTTGTATAGAGCTGCAGACCAGAGGCACAGGAAGATAGGGAAGCACAAATGGAGAGAAAAAATATACATGATAAGACAGATTTTATCAGCCTCTGCTGCGGAGGCGCCACAGTTTAGATCCTGTTTATATGAAATGGAGTTATATATATAAATATATACGTATAGTATACAATTGAGATTCAATTTTAAGGCCATAGCGAATTTATTTATTTTGTGAATTTCTAAATTCTGTATAAAAAAAAAGGCACATTTGTCTTTTATTTACATGTGTAAACATGAGGGAACATACAAAGAATATGAACGTTAATACCAGGAAGCTTATTTGGTAGTTTTATTCTTTTTTTTGGACCAACGTTTTTTATTCATTATAATCAGCATTCTTGAGTTATTGACTCAATGCAGCATCATTACTTCTCTGTTATATTCTCTTATTGTAGATATCCCCCGTTGTGTGTCTGATTTAAAGATGTACTGAATGTGCTTTAGTTCCTTCTTTTCAGCAGACATACCTCTTGAACTTTTTCAACAGTGGGGACTATGCATTGGGAAATAATTTGACCCGTCTACTGCATGAAGTATCAGATGTTTCAACCAGTATCTCTTCTACTGTAAATCATATCAGACTTTTCTTTACTTATTTGGAACAAATATGTACCACTTCATTTTTCTTCTACAGCTCCTCTTTCTTCTTCTACTCTCTCCCCTCCTCTTCTCTTACCTTGTCTTCCCTCTTCTACTTTAAAATCCTCTTGTGTCCTCGTGTCTCCACTCCTGTCCCTCTCTCCTCTCCTCGGGTCAGTAGACTCTGTGCTTTCTTTATTTGCCATCCCACTTTGTTAAGGACCTCTCAGGCCAGCCTTCCGATTGGCCCCTCGGTCCTGCCGGGGATGAAGCCATATTGATCCTGAGTGGTATCAAAGCTAAATTGGATGTATTTTCCAGCCGGACTGTTGCTGCAGAGTGAGGACATTCAGACACACTGACCTCCATCTGCACTGGCACCTAAGGACAGGAGTTAAACGCTGCTTTACAACCGCACATCAGCCAAAGTGCTCTGGGTCTGCAAAGACACGCTGAATGTATATTTACTGTCTAAAAACATCCTAGCATTCGACAATCAATTATTACACTGGGTAACTTTTGCATTGGGTTTTTTCTTCAATATTTGTGTTGTAAATATTCTGTATCTGCCCCTTTGTATTTCCCTTAAATCACTGTTGTCTGAGAGATTCTGAGGTATGTCCACTGCTTAAGTTGTGTTGCTTCTTCTCTTGGGTTGTTCTATGCCTCCCTTATGCTGAATATAGAATAGATTTTTAAGAAAAAGTCAACGTACTAATTAAAAACAAAATCTTCTTCACCGATCATCTTCTTTTATTTTTGGTTTTGTTGCGAAATAATTGCTTTTTGAATCAAGTGAGGTGGCGGATAGAATGTCACCCAAAAAATAAACAGAAAACAAAATGAAACTTGGAAACAATGGGACATGAGGGGAGTGGGGGTGGGGGGGTGGTTGGGGGGGTGGGGCTACTAAGTCAATTAATTTGTGCTGTCGAGATAATGAAAATGAAGTGTTTGTGCCTTGCAAACTCAAAGTCGTTTTTGCAGCTTTGAGGGACACTCGACCACATGGCATTTAAAGAGAAAGAAAAAAGCTACTGTAAGAAACTGGATTGGAGCCATTAGTGGGCCACAGACTGATTGGACTGTACTTAAGAGCACTGCTTCTCCAGTTGCTGTGGGTGGATGAATACATTAGCATGTGACATGCCCAGAGCTGAAGACAGCTGAGTCTGTCACCACAGCTTGGAGACGGACTGAAGGGAGCGTGTGTGTACTGAGGCTGTGGTTGGCGAGTGGAAGGTTTACTTGGATTTTATTCTGTTAGAGCATGTGTTATGTTGATGTGTTTGTGTGTGTGTGTGTGTGTGTGTGTGTGTGTGTGTGTGTGTGTGTGTGTGTGTGTGTGTGTGTGTGTGTTTGTGCGCTTGGAGTCGGAAAGGAGGAGGGTGTTTGTGGTGTTGGGTGTGTTGAGGAGGCTGTCTGGCAGCAGGGATTGCCTACTGTGCCTAGCTCTGTCTACACCCACATGCACAGCTGTGGACCACACAATCCAATCTTGCCAAAGGGTTAACACACACACAAACACACACACACACACACTAACAAAGCACAACAAGGCCAGAGGTTCAGACACAGCCGCCACTGTAACCTTCAGTCCTGCAAACATCTCCCTGAGACTTTTCCAGACCAGAAAACAGTTTGAAATGACTCTGAAATAATCGCACAACTTCCACATTGAACGACAAACAACCCTCCATTACATCCGCACAGACACTTTGCTTTTCTGTTCAGCGGTTCATCGATCGCCTGCCATATGGTAAGTGGAGGTTGTTATGGATTACTAAAATAATGAAAGGCTACTAGCAGCTGCTATGTCTCTGCTATTCCTTTTGCTTTGGTGAGTCAGAGACCCCAGAAAGATGGAGTGAGAGCCGGGTCCTAGGAGAGGAGGGCTATTTCTGTGTCGCCTGCAGCCACTGACACAGTGCGAGTGTTTACTGCTGGGCCACGCTGCCTCTCACAGTAGGAGCAGTTGAAGGATGACGACTGACATTATTGTGCCTCCAGCCTGTAGCAGGAAGAGTACAGGGAGAGCTTATTTAACCATCAGGGCGCCAGACGTACTGCAACATTACAGAGGAGAGGAGATGATGAGTATAGTCTCATGGCAAATGCAGCTTTTAACTGGATAACCTGCAGCCAAGGTTACATTTAAATAGAACACTTTAACATTTGAGGATTTGCTCATAGAAGTATTTAAGAACAGCAGGAGCAGCTTGGTTTAAAATTGCTATAAAAAAAAAGAAGAACCATAAAAATAGTTTAGAAAAGGAGAATAGCAAGGTGGTTTTATTTTGCTGCAGTACAGCCCTCTTCCCACAAGATGGCACTGGTCATACATATGTCCTCCAGCAGAACCTGAGCCTCAGTCTGAATTGGGAGACAAGTATTCCTTCAGGTTACTAATCTAAATAGAGACACTCCTCATACATTGGTTTTCACCCTCCTCCGCTCCAGAATAGCAAGTCATGGATCTAAATGAAGTATCTGAAATGAAAATAAGCAGCTGGGAGTGAAGTCTCCCCCTCCTCATTTTTTTGATCAGTAATAAAAGGAATTAATTCACATGTGAGTCTCAGTGATAGTGCCCATTCCTCAGGCCAGGTAGGGGGAAAAAAAATCCTTTGAACTGCGCTCACCTGTAAGATGCTCGGTTTTCCCTGCAGAGGAGTCGATCTGGTTTTCTCTCTTCATCAAAACAGCGATAAACAAGCGCTGGAGGGGGAGGATTTTCCTAGACAGTGTGCAAAATGCATGAGAACCATTGTGCATCTGAAATGATACATCTTTTTATTCTGGAGTTCACAGCTGCACATATAACATAAACAGCATTGAACCCCATCATGCTTGGTGGGAATGCAAATAAGGGATATTAAAAACCTCTATGATAATAATCAAAGATCATATGATTACGAGCACTTCTAGTTTTTACATTTTCAAAGGAAAAAATAAATCTTTTTTAAGCCACACTCCACAGCCTCACACTTCATTGTTTTTCTGTCCTCTCCACATATTTGCATTGGTCTTTAAATGCAATCACGGAATATCTCACGAAGTAAGCTGCATAAATTTACTCAACATCTTACTATTTGCATCATGAGACATATTTATAGAAAGAAAAGCATGAACAGTGAAAGCACACAGCTTCAAAAGATGTTGAGTTTGTTTTTGCTGGAGATTAGATGCAACTGGTTACCTCAGGAGGCGTTCAATGACCTCTGGAGGTTTGTGTTTTGGATACAAACACATGGCTGTGCTTTGTTTGTGTGTGCAGCAACTGGATTGTGAACATAATGGTGCAACTCCAGGGTCTTTCTGGGTCTCCATGTTGATTTTTAATTTCTAACTGTGCGATGTCTTGTGCTTTAAAACTTGACTTTCATGGTTAAAATATTGGACCTGTCTCCCACTATGCACAAGGATCTCTGAGGGAGCTGGCTGTAATATCTGTATCAGCCTCTCCAGTCAGGGCGAGCCATCCCATTCAGCGCAACTCTCAGGCCTTCCATGGCAATTTACTCTCATGACAACACAAAAGAGTCCTCAGAGTCCTTGGAGTCCTCGCCTGATAGACAACTAACAGAATCTTGTAAAAAATGACACTTTGCACTATTTCCAATTGTTGTGAGTGCAAAAGCTCTGGAAAAATCACCACCTGCATCCCTGGGAGCATCATTTTTAATACACACTGCATTTAACGGATGTGATAAGCAGGAGATAATGAGAAATGAATTATATATAAATGATTTTATGAACTTTTGAGAATGGCCTTGGGGGCTTTGCTGTAAACTTGTCAGTTTATTTGAAGTATGTTTTCAATTATTGCATTTGTTTACTCATGCCACCACTTTTTATTTGACATGTTGCTTTGGGCAATTGACATTATTGATTTCAAAACAACAATATGGTTGCAGTCTGAACTCCATTTATGAGAATATCTATAAAACATTTACATACAGTAATACGTTTTCCTTCTTTTTCACAAAAATCCATTTGGCTGCCAAATATTACTGATATCACTGACATCATTACCATGAAGCCAACATGAGTCATCACGATATACTGAGCAGAGAAAACAATGCATTGTTATGCCTCTGATACACTAGAGAGTCTCAGGATACACAGCATAAACAATAAAAAAAAAGCATAAATGTCGATATTTTCTAGTCTGATTTCTTGTAATTTGATGCTTAATGTGTCTGCTAATGAGCATTGGGACTGATGGAGGGGAGAGAAGGCGCTTAGTCTATTGTATGGACGGCATGAGTCAGAATCAAACCCATACACCCACATCAGCTTTCACACAAACACCCCAGGGTGTTAAGTGTCTTTCAAGGAAATCATATTGTTTCATACGAACAGAGATTATTCACACAATGAAATTTTAATTGGAAAAAAATAATGAAACATACAGAAGTCTTCTCAGAAAGCTATGACAAGCACAAGTGTTAGTTTTTGCTGTTTCACATAACTCGAATACCCTCAGGCATAAATGCACCTTGTTATTCCGATGACAAAGTTGTTATCTGACGAGTTATTTTAGCTCTACAGATTGAGATGTTGGTGTGACAGATTAAAATCGCCTCGGCAAAGAAAGGAAAATGTTTGAACAGAAGCATTTTGTGGATTGCAACAACAGAGACAACAATGGAGGATAACATAACAGAAAGTACACCACAAAGAGGTCTGTGCATCTTTAATTAAACTGTACCTCCTTAGTGTAACATGATAGTAAAAACAGATGAAAGCATTGTTGTGCTACAACGAGCCAGTCACAGAAATCCAAAGCCTTGGTCTTCAAGAGCTTCTGCTTATTCTGAACTGGCCTGTAATTATATAAAAATGTACTCTTTTTTTAATCTTTATTTCTGTATATTGCATACGTTGTAAATGTTTTTTGGACTCTTTAAAGAGTTTTCTTGTGGTTTAAACATGATTTTTGTGTTCATACAGGAGATTCTACACTACTATAACTAGTTGGTAAATTGTGTCATTTATTGACAAATTCAATAACTTTTGGTGAGTATGGAGATATTTGTATCCACCATTCAGATTGACATGTAAAGGTGTATACTCTATGTACATTTTCATGCATAACTTTATTAGTAGAACACGTTTCTTATACTCATGAAACAAAGTATATGAATGCTTCACAAAGTAAGGACAAACAGGGCTGAGAAATTTTAAGGCCTAGATTAGTTTCTGGTGGCACCTTAAACTAAGTTGCACCCATTCAACATAATCAAATAGCAGGGTTTACTAAGTGGGTAGATTACCAAAGAAAATTAGACAGCTGCTTACAACCAATGCCTTTTAAAAAAGAATCCAATAACACTTCAAAAGCCTTTGAGACTATTTAGAATGACTAAAACTCAATGGGCCAACCTTCAGATTGGATAATGACTGTGTTCAATGGACTGCTTCGCTTTGTGGTCTGAAGTGTTTATCAAAAAGAGGATCTACACCTAGTACCACGTAAACACTTTAAAACCTCAGAAAGGAGTGGCACTCTCAGATCCTCCCCAGCATGCGGGCGATCCACCAGTTGCACGGCATAACAATCTGACAGATGACCCGGCCTCCTTGGTAGTAGTACGGCCATGGGTTGAAGCCGCCCAGGGGCTCGTGGTAGCGGCGGCAGAAGCGGTAACCACGGCGACAGTGCTGGCAGCAGTAGCCCTGGTCATCCAGACGGTTGTCCAGCTCGATTCCGACGTCTCTCTGCGGGAGAACACAGACAGGAGCGGGCAGGGTTACAATCACACACATGACCAGCGACAGTCCTCCCAGAGGCAAGGGCAAGAAAAAAAGAAGAAGAAGAGGACAAAGAGGACCGAGAGGAGGGGTGGGCCGAAATTGATGAGGTTGCTTCGCTTTCCAGAATATAGGATGCAGAAGCCAAACAGGAGTGAAAAGATCAGAATTGATGTGTGTGAAAATGCGAAGTTGTGCCATGCTTGATGGCTATGACAAAGAGATCAAGATAGCAGTGAGAGTGAGCGAGTGTGATTTAAGCTGCAGGAGCATAAAACATGATATAATACCCTTGACCTTTTCTATTATACCGCAGGAAGCACGACTGCCGGCTGGCTGCACAATGCCCCATCTCTGAATCCTGCATTTACAGCCTCTCCACCACTGCTATCTTCAATCAAAGAGTCTCTAATGTTGGTAGTTACCAGCATAATTACACTATTTCTTTCATCTCTGACCTCTTAACTCCCTCGACCGGAGCCCACATTCTGCGCCAAAATGACAGCCCCTCCTCCAATAGAGCGTTCAAATTAGAGCTCCCCACGTCTTGGCGCCCTCCCCCTGACCTTGACTTTAAGTGCACGGCACATTCCTAAAGCAATTAGTGGAGTAATGATCGCCTAACAAGGATTCTTTCATTTGCTCTTCCTGGCTGCCTCTGAATTTATAGAGGGGCCAAATGAAACCCAAACGAAAGGTAAATTGGGTTGAATTAATGGCCCTTGGATTTCTCCATTGTGCCTGGATGGTTCATGCCCATGTACACTCATGGGGGCTGAGTGCCATGCCTTTGATCAAGAGCAACTCCAAATGGGGTTCGGAGAAGTGCCACTTAACTCACCGCACAACTTGAAGTAGCAACTGCCCCTCAGTATGCATTTGACCACATTTCAATCTCTTTTAGCAAATGATTCCTCAGAGACCATCCGCCGCTGTCTCGTTAAAATGCTCCAATCCAGCCAGAAGTTGTTGGTGATATCCAGATCAGAATAGTACTCTCTCAATGAGTCAGCTACATGCAGTAGTGCAGAACAAAACACATCCACTGATGGGAATACAGAATGTGTGGGAATTGTTTAAGAGGACAGGACCCACAGGAGCACATGGCTGAGTCCTTCCAGTCCCCCGCTACAGTTAGTATGAGAATTTGTTTTTTCCTGCATACCGTGGGTAGTCAGTGTACGACTCATTTCATTTGTTTACTTAATTTTGTATTAAGAAAACATGCAGGAAGAGGGGCTAGCAGGGTTCTGTGTACCCCAATAAAAGGGGCGGGCTAGCAGAGCCCCCCCCCCCACCAGCTCTACTCTACTTCTTTTTCTCCTATTCCTATAAGTGTGCTACTGCTGTAATTCTACTACTACTGCTACTCCTGCTAATACTAAAGCTATTTTGAACAGCTATTTTTACAACATGCTTTCCTTGAAACAACAAAAATGAGTTCAATCTTTGTTTTCTATTCATAAGAAAATTAAAAAAACATGTTTTTTTCAGTAATAACAACACAGTGACAAAAGGGAAAATGACATTTGACCATTGCACCTTGTTGTGCGATTTGACGGTTTGTATACTTTCACATTTGATTGCACTCCAACAGTGACTGATCTAGGAGCTCTGACTCTGCAAGTGTCGACATTATTTTGGTGAAATAGAATAATTTGATGTTAATCAGCTGATCATGGATCACATTCCTTTCATTTTCAATCAGAAATAAGGGAGAGTGCTATTTCTAGCAATGATGCTAATTACTTAAGTGGGAAGAGGTCATGCACTTGCAAATACTGTGAGGGCAATGAGGAAAACCAGGAGGATTAGAAGTGGACTATATCAACACGTTGTAAACACCGTAAGTGAAGTTTGTACATTTTTGGCTGAGAGTTAACTTCTGTCATGTGCTTTGTGATCGGGCTAATGTTAGCTGCAGCTGTGTAGTGCTGTTTTCATTTTAATGTGAGATTAACTACCATTACCATAACATCCAGATATGCTTAAACTGTTGAGTTAAATTAGGTTTGTGGTTATTTGTGATGTTTTTAGTTACTCTTTGTACAAATCTTTTTTTCAAAGGTTATGTACGGGATTCATTGGTCCTCACGAGTTCACTTTGTGATGCCTTGTTATTATGTACCAGGGTGATATGATGATATTTGTTGTCGTCATTTTATTGGATACTGTTGTTTTTTTTCTAAAAAAAATATGCATACCTGCAATGAATAATCCAGCATCTTCATTTTCCCCCGTTCACATGTCTCTGCTGCCTCTCCTGACTGTAAGCATGAATCCTTAGTAAGCGCACCATGCTTTTGACATGAGCTATGATAAAGTGGGTGAAATTACACACTTGTGCACCATACTTAAAACACACAGAAAGGGTGGGACAGATGATATCAGGGATGTTTTATTTATTACGATGACAAGCACAGGTAGGCTTTTTAATGATTTATTGTTTCTGTCAAGTTTCAGGTCACAAGCTTCCAGGCAACAATCTGTCAGGGAAACAACAGGAAGGCTGTCAATGGACCAAGATAATCTTATCTGCTCCTCACAGCCCGAAACTGAATGTTTCAAAAGCTGAAGCTTCGTCTCCGGAAAATGAAGAAAATATTTTATTCAAATGATGCAGCGTTTATCGAAACAAACAGCCAATAGGCAGCATTGTACCTTAAAAGACAATTAATCAGAGCTATCCTTTTAAAACGGCAGGTACATATTAATCACCTGGCTTTGAGTTGGCGTCTCTAGTGGGATGCTGCGGTGATAAGAATGGTTCACCTTGGGAAATCTGAGGCAGTCACTCAAAAACAAGCAGCATTAATGAAGAGTAAAAGCCATTACCCCCTTGCTGCATCTGATTTCATCACACACTTGGGCTCACGTATGCAAACACGCACACAAACTCAGACACCTCTGTGCATAATATGAAGCAGTGGATATGAATGAGTCTGCAGAGTAGCAGACTGCGTCAGTCATTCAATAAGATGTAATGAATCAAAGTGCGGCTCCTCTAATCTCCACACTTGTTGGTGTTATTTCACACACACTGATCAGCGCTCTTCATGAGCTTGAAGCACATGCCTGGATGTGTTATTAAATCTCATAGCAGAGTGCTCAGCACATTCATTCCGGGATCAAAACAGCAGAGATAACATTTCTGTTTCATAGCCTGCTTTGTATTCAATAAGGTTTTTTTATGTAGAAACACAGGACAGTGCATCATATGAGAATTTCTGGTCTGATCTCTGATTTTCAACTAGTGGGCCTCTACAGTGAGGCGGAATGTAATGTAATTGAATAAGGAGATAGTCATGTATTTCAGTAAACTCTGCCGGTTTACCAAAGTGATAAGGAGCTTTAGCTGCTGTGTAAAGATTTCTCCGGAGGCACAAACAGATCAGGCATTCATGGATTGAAATCCTTCAGCTTTCTGCAACTCTTTAATGCAGCCTGACCCCGAGCGGGGGCTGCCAAAGGTTTGTAAGGATGCTACAAGAGTCCCTGGCTGAAAACACAGCAAACATGTGTTTGCGGTTGTGTACGTGGGGTCAATTCATATTGGAAGCCGATCCCTGCTTTATGGGTCAAGGACAGTGGCATCATCCCTTCATCCTTGTCAGATGGTAGTTATTCAGTTTGAAATTTCCAGGGCCACCGCTTATACATGCTGCTCTCTGACAAGGCAGCCGTGGCAAAGGTCACTTTCATATATCTCTCAGCCTCTGTCACCAGAACTCAGGCAATTATTCTGCTTTACAAAGACGTGACACTGAAATCCAGACTTATGAAACAGATGAAGTGAATGTGTGTGTGTTTTTTTATGTGTCCTGTGTGAGAGCATGATGGATGAAAAGGCAACCGGTATAGGCGGGGCAATAGTATGAGTAGCAGACCGAGTGTGGTAGATTTCTGACAGTGTGCAAATTTACATGAGATCTGAAAGAAGTTTAAAAAACAAGCAAGTTCAAAAGAAAAGGTTTGGCTAACACATGTGGCATCATGCTGGAATGAATGAGAGTGCAGCCTCCCAATTACAGACTGCTGCATGCCCTCTGCTTGGCCACAAAGGCCTTTGTTATCGCCAGGCCCACAAACAGAGTCTGGATGTGCTGCTGGAATGGATTGCAGCGGTATGCATAACAAGGCCGATAGATGCAGAAAAAGGAGAGACAGGTTTTTCATCCTACCCTGGTATGTTTTAATTGCATAGTGCGGCATCTCTCGCTGCAGAAGACGGGGGGAGAAGGTGTTTCTGGGACAGGCATGATAAATGTCAACCATATAGGATGTCTCATTTCTCTATGTGTCTGTTTTACACAGCTCTAAGGAGATCGACTCATTACCCTTGAATTTTAGATTTAGTGGCTACTGACTGGTCAGTGCTGTATATGTGGGACAGATAACTTGCACCCTTATATGTTCCTGTATCTTTAGTGTGCAACTGCTATTTTGTTTTTTTTTGTGTTCAAGTGCATAATTCCTATGTAAAATCCAGCTTTATACGGTTTTTCCTCACAGTTAGGGGATAATTACCCATAAAGCACTGTGTGGTTTACATGCAGCACACCAAAAATATGCCACTTGGCCTTTCCATTTATTTGATACGCTTTGATAATTAGAGCAGTATTAATAAATGTAACTTATCTGTGCAGCAGTGAGTGACCTTGAGAGAGCCCCTTTGTGCAGCGTCGCGGAAAAAAAGGGAGTGAAAAAAGGAAATATGGTGTGCTGTAGGCACAAGTTGCTGCCTTTGAAAGGCTGGATATTCCTCTCAATTAATGGAAAGACATTAAGGGAGTCTTCAATGAACTGGCCTTACTTAAACAGATATATAGAGCAATTGCTATGCCCTCTGGTGCACAAAGTCAGTTTTAACATCAATTAGTGAGCGATTTATATGCAGAAAGAGTCGAGGCAGAGCTGGGGCTGATTGAAGTGGCTTCACTGTATCTAATGGTGAGGTCCCACTTACATAGTCGTTCACTGCAGGGTGGTCCAGGACGTCTCGGGCGAAACGCTGACCTGTGACCTCCACGTCGGGCGCGTCTACGTTTTCCTCCTCAGCATCTGCAGTTCAGGACAGGAGATGTGTATGTGCTTGTTACAGTTATATCCATTGTTTGAAGCAAAGTGAGAAAGCTCTTGGATTAAATTTTTGGCTCATGCTCTCAGTTTTCTCCTTGGCTTGATGTTAATTACTCACATTCAGGAAAAATACGCCGGAATTCATTCCAAGCGTTTTAATGCTTCTGTCGAACAATGATGTTGTTGCTGTTGTGTTACTAACACACAAATCACTTTCCACAGATCCTAATTAGTAAAGCCTACACAACCTGGTGAGAAAAAAACCCCTTCAAAGACTAATTTTACTTTCTACTTCATGTATCTGTTTTTCCGAGTTACTTTATCCTCATCTCACGGAGTATTTTTTCTCTTTTAATGAGCCCTAAATGTCTTAGTGTCTTAAAGCTTGAGGAAAACTCAACTGGTTTTATATATTTGGCAGAACAAGGTAACATTAAAAAAAAAAAAGATCCCCATTATTTAGTACTTTTGGTTTCTCTCAGGAGCTGCAAATTTGTGAAACACTTTAGAAAACTCACCGTGATAAGAAAGATTTAATATCACTTGAGCCCTCTACTGTTTGTAATAAGCCAATTATTTCATAACCTTTTGTAAAACACTTGTAAAGACAACTACAAATCAACTTGTCACATGTTTTTCCAGGATTTTGTCTATTGAACTGTGTTTTAAGTTTTATGTCGACCAGCTTTGAGAATGACCACTCGGAGGTTTCAGTCACAGCTTCATTCTTGTTTCTGCTTGATGCATTTTGTACATACTGACTTCTAAAATCTAATTTTCTCCCTTAAGAGTTTCAGGCAATAATCTGTTTTTCAATTCAACTTAAGCCTTGAGTTTTATCACCCTGGACTTGATCAACTGTGTGTTGGTATGTTCCCTTTAATCCACCTCACTTTATATTCATTTTTCTTCTCCCTTCTGTAGAATAAATATAGAGTGAGTTTTAGTAGTTGTGTGTATAGACTTCAACACAGCATATATAGTATTAGTAATTGCTTACACATCTGAGCGCATCTTAAACCACCGACCTCTAGTCGCACAACTATTCAAACACACTGACTGGAGCCAGGGCTTGGTGGGGGGGGGGGGCTACAGGTCTCTTCAGACATTCATGCAGCCTTGGAGTTTGCCATCCAGCGAAAGTGTTAACAGTCTACATTTAGAGGCCAAGGGGCCCCCTGCTCTCACCGCTGAGGGGCGAGGGATGGATCCAATGGATGGGAAGCTCCTGGCAAATCTCCCAGATCTTAGAGTCAAAGAGGAAGGCTGGGTTAACGATGGGCTCCTCAGCAGGAACCCACACTTCGGAGTTGTCCATCTTTGTATCCATAGCCTTGGTCTCATCTACCTGCTCGAAAACACCACAAATACACACACACACACATATACAAGAGAAACATGGCATGTCAGAGCCTGCAAAATATTCAGGCCCCACATTAAGTACTGTCCTGCATTTACCCTCTCCACCCCCCGAGCCATGCAGCAGCTCCACCCTCATCGTTTTATCCATCTTCTTTCTATCCTCAAGAGAGGGTGGCAACTTCCTGACTCCTGACTCCCCCTGCCCTGACTCGCCTCCCTTTTCCCTCTCTCTCCTTCTCAAGCCTGCGGCACGCTCTTTCTATTATACATCATTGAAATTCACAGACAGTGATGATTTGACTTTTAAATGACTTTAGAAGTGGTCTTCATTACTCTGAGTGTGGCTGCAATATCGTTTAATGTGACAGACACAATAAAGCCTTTCATTCTCCTCCCTCGTCCCACTTCCCCTCCCTCCCCCCTCCACAACAATGCTTTGCTTGGCACCCAGCATTATCAGAGGGCTTAATTTGTTGATACTGTAGTTCATGAGCTGTAAAGTAAACTATTATTGCTTAATGATAGGGACTACATGTCAGTGCTGTCTAATAGAGACATATGAAGGGGATTTGGTAATGCTCTCCCCTAACAGCGAAGATATTTATTTTCTTCATGTATATGTAAATACACACACAAACAAACCCTTCTTTCCATTCCCTTGTTAATTAGCAGCCCAGAACAGAACAACAGTTCACTTGACAAATGTTTTTACAAGGTGATTTTCTCCCAGTCTAAGGCTTAATTGCACATTAGTTAAGCTTGACGCAGAATCCCGGGGGCTATAGTGGGAGTGAGAATCATTTATAACGGGTCGTGCCCCCTCCCTCACATTCACCCCTGTCACTCTCACTTGAATTACAGTTTTGCTTTCCATGCTGCTTCTTATTTGTCACTGTGCCACACAGTTGTGACCTGCAGAGAGAAATAAAAAGCTAACTTTGTCACATTAAAGATTGTGTTTTCTGGCACAGCAGGTGACACAATTTTGCCTAATTCTAAGGAGCGGCCAGTAGACTAATGATGATTGGAAGGACTGTTTTTGGTGGTACTGTAAAGCATAGGGGGTATTCCGGCATTAAATTGGAGCTCTGAACCTTCCCGTGGATGCAGAAATTAAAATCAACCTCGAGGAACACAAACTGCACTCTCTAATTGGACCTCTTAAGCCAAGCCTAGTGTGTCTTCTCTGGAAAGTAAATGGAGGTCACGACAGGGGCTCACAACATGACTTTGACTTTACAGCTGAGAAACGGCTCCAATAACTTGAAGGAGAGAGCCTGGAGGGGGAATGGGGGAGGGGGGGGATATGGTAAAGGTCAGCATTTTAGCATGGGGCAGGGATTTCTAAATGCCAGTTGACAAGCACAAAGACAACATGATTACAGTCCTACAGTTTACACTCACTCCTGAATGGCTTTTCTATTTTGATATTGACAAATGATATATTAGGACACAAGCAACTTTTTATCAAGTATTGTACCTTGGGAATGATGGTAATTCATTTTGGGCTGCCCGCTCCTGGTGTATATATGCTTTCCGCCTACAGTGCACAACTTAATTATACACCAGTTGTGCTGTAGTTAATGAATTTACCCTCTCCTGCCACTGTGTCCCGAAGGGGGAAACACTGTCTACATGACACATTGTGTAAAGTGTGGTGCAGTGTTTGCCAGAGATCAACAAAGATTTTCTCATGATACCAAAGTGCTTTCCCAAGCTGCACATAACACAGGCAGTAGGGGTTAATTACGTACCAGTTTCATTTACACCCATATTCAAGCAAGTTCCTAAACAAAATGCTGGCACATTTTTAAGGGCAATGAAGGGCGTAGTTACAACATTTACAGTGACATTTAACAAGTATCAATTAACATTCGATAACCCATACTGCTGCTTCAAGACAACAGCCAACGTTGGCATTCAACCAATTCTCAGCATTACTAGTAGCATGCTTCTTCAGAGTCCTGTTTTCTCAGTTGGAAGTTGTCGTCTGAGTGGGAGGTTTTTTCGAGACGCTGGGCAAGCTTTGGTCATCCATATTAAGTGGCTGTGGCTGTGGTGTTTAATGGAGCAAGCAGCATCCTTTGACAATGTTAAAGGTTGTGAAGGAGGCAGATGGTGGTTTCTGTGTCAGGCTGGGGAAACTGGAATGAAGCTAAGGGATTACTCCTCAGACATTTTATAGAGGAGGCAAATAGAAAATGGGGGTTGGGGGGGGGGGCTGCCAAACAATCCATGTTTTTCACCTGGTTTTCTCTCACAGGGCTGCATTTCCTTATCAGCCGCTTGCAGTTTTTCCACAATTTTTGCCTTTGTTTTTTCATACCTCGGCTCTCAAACCTCTGAGCCTTCTTTACTGAAAGCCTGTGGCTGGGTTAAGCTTGGAACCATTAGTGCTTGGCTTTAACCCCTATGAGCTTCACGTGTCTCACCACCTGAGGAGGAACTTGTGCTCATCTTTTTCAGGGTCACATGTGGGTGGATTTACAATGAGAATGGATCATGGGTCACTGGTCACCAAGGTCATGGCTTATAACCTTCATATGGCCTCTTTGATATTTTCTGTGTTCCTCTTGTGCAAGTCAGTGTTTGGTTGGTGAAAACATCCCTTCCAGAAAAAAAAATAGAAGGGCACTTTAGTAAAAAAAAGGAGAATTTAGACAATGAAGTGACTCTCTTTAGCGATTGAATAGGTGGGAGAATATTGTGTGCCATTTGCACAGTATTGTAAACACAATAATCCAATTATTAGTTTGACAGTTTTACAATACAATAATTTGATTTCCTTTATAAAGGTGGAGTTGAGAAGATCAATGTCACTACAGAAGTTGGCCCTCTGCCTAAAGTGTATTCATCTTTCAGGGGCTCAGAACTGTGTTACAGTAAGACCATAGAAATTGCAGTGCACTTCAGAAACATTCATATAAACAACATTTACCCCTGCTTTCTCAAACTACAGTGCTTTATTATTTTGTATTTTAAGGACTTTGTCTCCATCATCAGCCCTGCAGCATTGATAAAGGCACATTTCAACTTAATTTCCCTTCCAGATTGTCAAAGTTTATTCATGCACAAATTTCTAACCTCTATACCCCGAAAACTGGAATCTGTATCAGCACCTGGGCCCATAGTGGTACCCGTCTGCATTCGGATCCTTTTTTTTCCTGACCAGTTCCTTTTACCTTTGGACTGGAAATATTAATGGGGGAGTTGGGATGCATAGCTTGAGCACTGGTATTATAACCTGACACTTTATCGCCAACATATTCCCAATTGCCAGCTCCTTACGTCTAGTGGGCCATACATTCAATCCATTAAGGTTGCATGGGAATATGATTCATGCAATTATGATTTTATTTTTAACCATAAGTAGAGTATAAAACAAGTTTTTTGAGACACAAGTTTGCAGGTTTGGCTGGCTGGTTATCACTATTTAGTCTTATCAACATTGATCTTATTTAGCAAGCCTGTGGCAGTGTAGGACTGATAAATGATTGATTAGACTGATTAGAAGAATCCAATGGAGACAACTTCTTATCAATTTATTTTGTATTGTTAATTTATTGATCATGGTGTAAAGTTTTTGTAAATTTGCTCATTTAAGTCCTGAATAGTGCTTCCGTAACTGTCACTTTCTTGGCCCATCATGATTCATTTTGGAGCTGTGAATTAAGCCAATTAGGCTTCACAGCGCACAAAAAAAGACTGATATGGCAAGGACATATGGTCCTGCCTGGGCAATTAGTATGTGTAAACGTGGATCAGACATTATGAAGATGAGTGGAGGAAAAAAAAAAGTGTTTGGTTTTTTTGGGGTGTAACAGCTTGTGTTCTTAAAGTTAAAACTGAGTCTGGGTTTCGCTTCGACTGGCAATCGGTTTATTCTGTTTTTAAAATGAAGCCGCACGTCGGAAGCGTCAGATATTTGCCAGCTACTGTATTTCTTCCCAGCTACAATGTGAAATGTAAATGAGAGCATGCAAGCAGAAGACACATTTGAGAGTGGGATTTTCTCTTTGAACATACAGCCCACTCAGTGAATTGCACTGTGACACAGAAAAATTGGGAATTTTGATTGATTGAATATCTCCACTCCTTCCCCTTATACAGAAGTTCACATATGACTGTAGGAAAGCAGAGAAGTAAAAATGAATCACTCAAAACTTAGAGAGGCAGCCTTGTGAATTCTACAAAGAAATCCTTCTTTAAAAAATACGGTTTTAATGGCTTGCCTCTCACTCAGACCGCTCTTGCACCCTTCCCCCTTTAGGCTATTTGGGTAGAGCCTTTGGAGGACATGATTAAAATTTAATATTGGCTCAAGACTGACAGCAAACACCATTTGATGTGAGCCATAAAGAGGCTACGGGTTTGTGGACATCTTTCTGACGGTTTCACAGGCACCGCAAACCCTAGTTTATTCTTCAGTGAGAGGGGCGGGGGAGACAGAATAAGATGGACAGGCTGAGGATTTGTGTGGTGCTCTTAGTGCTCTACTCTGGTTATCGCCCGACAATATGCATGACAGCCTCTGCAGGACTACAGAGAGTCGGAGCTACAGACAGCTGTGGGAGGAGACTCACCACTAACTCTGTGTGCTCAGCCTCCGCCTCTGCCACTACGGGCAGCTTCCTGGTTTGGGTCCTGATGTAGCACCTCTGATGTTCAGCAAACCGGATCCCAGTGATTCCCTTTGGAAAAAGAAAAAAAAATATGAAAAAAACAGAAATTCAGAAGAATGTATGATTCATTATCACTCTGTGATGTGGATATCCTGTAACTGGGGAAACCATTTTAAGACCCTCATGTTTTTGCTGATAATCAAAGCAGTTAAAAAGTGAAAGGAGTTAAAATCTAATTAGGGAGAAGAGGTGTGTTGTTTTTTTTTCATTAAGTGTGGTATAAAATCGATGGCTGCTTGGCCCCTGTAACACTGATCTTACTTTACATCTATCTACTAGTTGAATGGTAGTAAAAAGAGCGGGGGTGTTTCAACCTGGATATATAATACTTTATAGGAGGATGGATGGCACAGGAGAGCCGAGCGACATTGTTGAGAATGAAGTGTTTTCTACAGAGAGTGGCCCCATTGAATTAGGCAGTCATAGGTCCCTGTCACTCTCTTAATCTGCGCAGTCAAGTGTGGAGTCACTCTCTTCAGCTCCACTGATGATCCTCCGCCATGTGGACTGTAGGTCTATTCAGCGTGACACACTGAGCCTCAATAGACAAGAAGGATCAGTTAATTCTCTCTTGCTGCCATTCTATGTTAATCTAAGATATTCAGCCGGAATAAGTCTGAAAGACTTTCACTTGATCAGATTGTATCCAATTTATTTTCTGCAGAGTAGCACTGCTCATTCAGCACACCGTATTAGAACAGACGGCAGGATCTACATCTGCCACGGCGGCTTTTAAATTGTATCAGCTGGAATTATATGAGCAGAAGCATGAAAATGGACTTGATTCAATCTAAATTTAATTACAGTAACACAGTGATTGCAATGACGTCTCCTTTGAATTGGTTAACTTGACCATGTGGTTGCTGTTTCTACGTTTTCTGTGGAGCTGTCACTCTGAGAACCAGATACCAGCAGCACAAGACATGATACAAAGTGATGCCTGTCATAATCTACTGGGTGTAATTTCATCGGCGCGGAAAAAAGGATGGGGCAATAATGGTCTCAAGCACAAAAGCATAATGTTTGTGCCACACTTTATTGTGATGGGTCTCTGTTTAATTTGGGTCTGCTGAATTGGTGAGCTGCAGCACAAGAGGAAGGGACGATGCTGTGATGAGATATTGTGATTGGTGGGGTTGGACGATTAGAAAATAAAAGGACACATTTAAACAGGCTTGAGAAATGGAAAAACAATGTCATTTTAATAAATCCATATGCAAGATGCTCATCTGCATCTAATCAACAGAATAGAGAACATGTCACCACATGAATCATTCAGCTCCTGTGAATAAACAACCAGAGACATGATGGCACTACATGTGTCAAACTGTGTCATTACATGTTAGCTTGGTCAATACATTGACACTATAAACATCATTGACATTTTTAAGGGACTGGATTGTAACCAATGAACGCTGGAGGGTCTTATTTCTTGCTTCACTGTTATGTGCTCTGAGAAAAGGATGTGGTTCAGTGTATAGCTGGAGAAGGAAAGGTAAGCGTTTTTCATGAAATTCCCCTCTGACCAGCACATCCTCATGGCTGAAGGCGATCTGAAGGCAGACAATAAAAAGTGAATAAAAGTGTACAGAATAGTATTTTTTACAAAAAGGAAAAGTTTGGTGGAAAAGCTGAGAACAGCTGTGCATAGAAAACTCAATTACTCAATAAGCTTACTTAGCATACAACAAATTCTCTTATTATTTGCTTATAAATAGCAATTACTAATATTGCTTTACAATCGAGAAGAAATGATAGGTTAGAAATGAGAAAGTGTTGCGTCTCCATTAAAAGATCAAAACTGTTTGTGGTTTAAGTCATTTAAAACACAAACATTCTATTTAGTCTTTAACCTCTTGGATATATGAAAATACCAGCAAGCTACTGGTTAATGTAGTTAAACACAGTTAGCTCAGTACACCCAAACACTGTTCGTACCACAAATGTGTGAAGGTGCATTCAATAACGACATTTGGTTTTCACTCTTTAGCTAGTTGGATGAACCTTTGCTTCGTTAGTAGGGATGGGTCATGAGTTTCAAATATTCAAATAGTCATGTCATTTACAAAAAAATCAAGGTGTTCATGCGACTATTACCTCGTCTTTTTCTCACAGGGATGTAAATATTGTTTCTTCAAACAGCAGTGTGAATAGGGCTTGTTTGTCAAGAGGCTTTAGGGAGAGCGCGTACAAAAGTCAACAAGGTTTTTTTGTCTCACAAAAACAGTATTCCAAATGTATCATTTACAGTTAAACTTAATAAACTTCTTTCTTTTTTTGCTGTTACATCAAAGCCATTTGTTTTCTATTAGCTAAAATTCCAGCACAGGTTCAGGGCCAATTTTCTTAAATGTTCTTTTGTTCACTGGGAATATTTATTGTGGGTTCGTCTTACTGTGACTCTCTCCCGGGATGTCTCTGTCTCCAGTTTTCCATTTCTCTCTAGTTAAAAATGAGTTTGGTATTGGACTGAAACAATAATGAATGCATTTCGCCTGTGGTCCACAAGGTATCCTGGTGGCATAATCCCCCTCATTTTCCATTCTTCACACAGCCCTCAGGCTTGATGGAGACTGTTTCAGAAGTGTCTGTGAAATAACATGCAACAGCCCTTTTTCTATTCAAAAACATCTATTCTAACATCGGTGCATAAGCTACCACTTAGTACACCCTATTGTGAGTTCTGTGTGGATTTTCTTCCCCCTTTTTCTTTCTTACTCACAATAAGGTTTGAATTACTCTGCTCACTCGCTTGTTTCTTAGTCTTCCATGGTGGAGCACTGAATCAAAAAAAATCTCCTCAGGGGATGTGCTTCACTAACAGGAAGTGGAACAAGCAACAGGCGCGCTTGTGTGTGTGTGTGTGCATGTGTGGGACACATACACACAGACAGGTTGGATTTAGTGAGAGAGAGAGGGATTGATTTCAGAGGGTAAAGTTTTCCAGCACTTGGCTTGTTTTTTTCCATCATACAGCCATTTTAAATTCACAAAGCCCATTGTTACAAAAACAATAACAACTCAACGTAGGTTTTTTGTTTTTGGGATGAGGTGCTTCCTGTAACTTCCAGCCTTGCATCCCAAATTTCACAGTAAATAATCGTGCGAAAATAAGAGCATTCATTACCCAGTCAAGCAGCACACTTCTGTCTCCAAGTGCGGCATGTGTTACCTCCTGCACACTCGACTAGGATTTAGGAATAAAAGGTAAGTTAATGAGCTCTGCTGGAGACAAAATTGCAGTTGAAAAAAAAAGTGTGAGGAACAAATAGAGCTGGATTCTTAGTAGTGTTTGTCTCTGTACTCCGAAGAAGTTACTGCATATTATTAGCAAAGGAAAAACAGTCTTTTAGTAAGAGACTAATCTTTCTTTCTGCTGCTGTGTGTGCACATAAACACACAAAATCCCCTGTGTACTCTCACCGAGTTTATTCCATGTTTTTTTGTCACCATTTTCATTGAGAGTGGCAAATATTGGTTAAGAAGAAAAAAGTCAACCATCTGCTTGAAAAGGGCAGAATGTGAACATCCTTGTCCTTTCTCTGCTGAGGAGGAGACACAAGTACAGCGCTGAGAAGAAGAACAGCATTCATGGCCTGTTTAACCTTTTACTTACATTTTTGAAGTCGTGCACCTCCAGAACCTCCTCACTCCCGTTTCCCATTCTGAAGATCTCAATGTGCTGACCTGGGTCAATCTCCATCATGCTGTCTGTCTCCACACCATCCAGCACGGCTTTGTACTGATGATCGTACAGCTGCAAAGACATAAAAAACCTTAGATTGCTGTGACAAATAGATCAGCAACTCATGGGTGTATTTATCATTGCCAGTACTTGTTGTGCCTTTTGTGCCAAAGGAAAGTAAAGGCCTGTCAAAACAGTCCACCCAAAATGACCCACTGAAAGTCACAATTGTTCCTTAGACTGCTCTGTGTTATAGAGTAAGGCTATATAGGAACAGCCTGATCTGACCTCGGAATTGCTGCCCAATTTTTTGTCAGTGTTTCAACGTTGTGGTGCTCAGCTGTGTGTGTCCAAAGATAGAAGAATCAGGCCCTTACATTTTTTCGAATGTGGACCTTCTTGTCTCACACAGACATAACTCTAACAGCAAAGTCCTACAAAGATGGCAACAAGCGTTCAGCGATAGGATCAATGTTGTCACTTGCTTCAGACAAAAAAGCCGACTAAACATTGTGAGAAATTAAATGGTCATTCTGTCTGACTATGAGGCTGCCATTGCCAAAAAAAAAATCAAAATATCTACTTTAGAGGAATTTGAAGTATATTTACACTGCATTCTCTTACTTCTTCTTTGAATAATACATTCTTAGGGTTATTTGTAACAGCCGTTTACATCCTGAGACCATCCTTTACAAAAATACAACCTCTATTGGAAGTGTGGTGAGGGATAATGAATAATGAGAAAGTAAATGTGGGCAGCAGTTGTAGGCAATGGATGAGTCAAGCAAAATAAGAGGAACATATGGGCGAGCCCCATTTGAATCCAAAAGTCACACTGACCTATTCCAAGCACTACGGGTTTATCAATATACATAACATAATTTAATTTCTTAACAGACCTTCTACAACAACCAAACTTTTAATGAATAAACTTTACCAACATCGAATGTTTCACAACATTAATCCTGTAGACGTTTGTCTTGGAAGGACATGTGTGATACGGGGATGTTAGGCCCTCTATACTTCAGATTGTTAACAAAGAAAACACTCCTAAGCTCCTGTGGGTTGTATTAGAGTGTCTTCGTGGTGAGATTGGTTGGAGTACTTGTTGTTATTAAGACATTCAGAAGTTCAGATTAAGCAGACTTGTTAACTTGTGTTTAATTATCACTCTCTCCTCTCCTTTTTTCAAAGAGACAGAAAAATATTCGGTAATAGAGAATTGGGTGATGACATGCAGCAAACAGCTAAGAGCGGGAACAGAAGCTGGTGCTGCTGAGGCAAAGACTTGGTTTGCATACACTTGGCAACCACTCTGCCATATGAGCTAAACTAGTGCCCCAACTCTTTACTTCTTATTTGTATTGACAGCCTTGTCTGTCTGTTGTTAGGTACTGCGTAGGTGTACTGCCGAGTGGAAAGACTTGTTATTACCAGGATAAGTGTGTTCTTGTTTACCAAACAAAGTTTACTTACTGTGATTAATATGCTTCACATAAAAGCATACAACCTTGAATACATTGTATGAATTTAACTTTATTCTTTTGATCAATTGAGCTGACAAACAATAAGAATATAAATAATTGAGAATGGATGGATGTTCAAAGGTAGCAAGTATTCACAATTTAACTGTCTCCTCAGTCTTTGACGCAGATAGGCTGAAAATCTTATTTTGGGACGTGCACTTGAAAAATGCCTGTGGAAACCCAACAGTTCGATCCATATATATGTAAAATGTGCATATTGACTTCAGTTGATCTCCATATTTTTAAGACTAGGTGAGTCTGGGCAGGTTTGACGTGACATATTGGTCTTTAAATGAATACATTAATTTAATTAATATATCCATTAGTGCAAGTATATTGATAACTCCAATTCAAAACCACATTCCTTGCTTTCAAAACAGAGACAACATTTTTTGCCTCCCTGAACTCCCTCATCCGGGTCTACACTCCCTCCCACTACTAATAAAAAAGGTGCCTGGTCCTACCTTCAAAACAGGGCCCTAAGTCTCTTGCTAGACTTTTCTCCTCTGTCGATGATGATACTGTTGTGGAAGCTGTTGATTTTGTTCTGTGCATTGTGTATGTGCACTGCCTGTCGGCATCTGTGTCTGATCTAAGTTGAAGCAGTTTGTTGGCACTTATTGATGTGGTTTCTTCCTGCCTAGATCCTTGCTTGTGTTGTACTTCCCTTAGATGTACTGTATGTTGTTTTGAACAAAGCATCCTCTAAATAAAACTGTAACATTGGTATGGCTTAAAAAATAGAGTTGGCTTTTTTTGAAGTGGAGCTGTATGTGATACTTATCAATAGTAAGTGTACTATAAGAAGAAGCAAAAAGATAAAAGTCAGCACAGCCCCTGTTTGGAGAAGCCGACTGGATTTCCATCACAGAAGCTAAGCTATGTATTGCTGCAGATAGATTTACAAGTACCATGTTCCTTAGCCACTTGAAAAAAGTCTTTCATATTAAAAAAAAATCCAATTATTGTGTACTTTATTTTCATATATTTTCACCAATTCATCTTTCAGTAAACAACCTTTTCTTTTGGAGCAATGTCTTCATGTCAGTTAGGTAGGACTTTTGACTTCGCAAATTCCTGGTGCCTTGTGTTGGGACCATTGACCAATCAGAATGGTTCTCCAAAACTTTCTGTCAATCCAGAGGCTACCTTACAAATATGAGCCAGCGCTGATCTCAAAGAGTATTTGTACAGTGAGATAGTAAACCTAATGTGTCCTATCAGTGATTTTCTATCAGCGCAGGGGCCCAAAAAACTAGTAGAACCGCAGAAAGAAAAAAAAAACATTATTCTTTACACAGGTGTATACTTTTGAAAAGGTGACGTGCATGTGCAGTCCAAAATAATTTTTTTCAGTGCAATAAACTTGAATTTCATTACATTTTTACAATTGTATTAGGCATCTTGACACAGCAATTTATCTGAAGTACTGTCAGAAGAGAAATAGTTCACTCAGACAAGCAATTTACTATATCAAAAAGATGCCATTGAATCAGGCATTTTAGACCATAACAATCACAGGAAAAGCCCGAGATGGAGGGATCGTTAGATAATGTAAGTACCTAATACAATGCTGCTTCAAAAAGTCTTAACTATCCCTTTAAACTAAGTGTGACTTTGTGTTCGGCAGCTGCACAACATCAGCTACATATGTCTAACATTAAGAAACATCCATGTGCATATACAGTATTTAAGTTGACAATCTGTAAAGTTCAGTAAGAAAATGTTTGATAGAATGTGACTAAAGAAAGTAAAATAAAGACCTTTTTAATCTCCTTAACAGTTCAAGCTTTCTCCTCACTGTTGCCTTAAAGCAGTGTTGTTTATCACAACTGCTTGCTTGTGTAGTGTTCTCGGACACGCATGGGTAGCTCTTAAAATTCCCCGTCTGAAAAATGATTCATGCCCACCAGCTGAAAAGATGCTATTAATATTTATGTGAGGGTTGTGTTATGATGAGAAATATATTGCTGAGTTCATCTTCATCTGTCTCAGCGGCAAATCAGAGCCTAGCCAATGAGACGCATGATTAATGAATACAGTCGGATGGGAGTCCATCAGGATTTACATCCCTCATCAGAAACATGTGCATGTCCTCTAACACATAATCAGCTCTCACTGTGCTCTCTAACATGTTCTGTATTTAACATGTTTTCTATCTCTTTGCTTAGTACAGCATAGCGATGACTTTCCTTTTTTCACTGGGAGAACAGAGTAATAATGTACAAATGGGATATAATTCTTAATAGAAGATCACTGTTAGAATGGCTCTAACCTATAAATCTCTATTATCATGGGTCGCTGTAGCCTCAGCTCCAAAGAGAAGAAGAACTTCAAATCGTCAGGAGAAGCCAAATTAAGATGGGCCTGAAATTTAAGTGTCAATTGAGCAGTTATGGACCAAATTGGGGCTCTTAAACAGTCTGCAAGTCTGTGTGGTGAATTAAAGTTCTATTTGAGCATTTCTTTTATATTAACATAAAGGTGGAGTGGGGGAATAGAATCGGCAGGCTTATTGATTTATACTAAAACAGTGAATTACATTTTCAGCAGGCTATCACTTTTGATGAAAATCCAGCCGTGAGAATCTACCCACCGCACCAGGTTGAAATAGATAATAATGTATTACAACAGTTTGACTTCAACTGGCTCAATACCCAAAGCTGCTGCTGTGCACCATAATTGGCATGCTGAAAATAGAAATGAATAGCCTCTATATGGCTGTTTGGGATAGTTCTAGATGCTTGAGTACATCAGGAAACTAGCAGTGTGATTTACTCTCCAACAAAGGGGAGGGTTTTGGGAAACAACAACATATTTTGCCTCATTGTAATGCCATTGATGGCTCTAATTTGTTTTTGTGCCGATTCTCATTATTTCCCTTGCACATTTATGTCTAAAAATATGCAATGGGATATTTCGGAGGTGACTTTGTTTCTCATAATTTACTTATTTTGTACAATTTCCCAAAAAACAAATCTACAGAAACTGTCACTGGGCTGCAAAACCTTTTAAAAAAAACAAATGCTGTGAAAGTTAATTAGCTTCTCATATGACACTGAACTGGGAGATAAAGGCCAGCTCAAAGGAAAATATCAAATTTATGTTACACTCTTTGCTTTCTTGATCACAACATGGGCTGATCAATATGAACTCTGCAGGTTTTAATGTCAAAAGAAACTGTTTTGAATTTGGAATGTTTCCAAAATGTATTCATTTTCCAAAACATGCAAGTCTGTGCAAAAGTTAAAAATGTTCACATTTCAAGTGATTTTAAAAGGTCGCCTCATTGTTGAATTAGATTTTGAAACGCATCAAAAGGAAATGAAGGAGTCTCTTCATGATCAATATGTGCTTGCATACCTCTGTTACAGTTATTGAAATTATTAAGAGAGTTTTCAAGTCTCAAAAAAGACTGATGCTTTCCTAACCACAGAGTGCATATTTATCTGTTTCGGCCACCTGACTGAAGGACTTAAATTTCTTACTGGAGTTCAATTATTTCCATAGAAAGTCCAATTGTATGCCAGACTATCTTCTTTTTTG